GACACCGCTGTTTCTTTAGATGAGAATTACTGGAGAGAATCCAGTCCCGCGCCTCTCAAGCAAGCCGGATGGCAGAGGCAAGAACGCTCCAATTTGTTGTTCAAAATCTTGAATCTTTATTAATAAAATACATCCTAGCTTTATCTTCGGTAATACCAAAGTTTTATCAGCAGAATTTCCTTTTCATACACATAAATACAGGACCTTGGGTTTCCAAGGGGAAAAGATACAGCCACCAGAAAAACAGCAGAATTACGTTGCAGGGATATGAGCTCTTTGTCAAACAATAAATCCTATGACTGTCTTTGTTTCTTATTAGCTTCATTTGCACTCTAAACCTTCCTACCAGGGCACTATGGCAAGCCTCTGCCATGTATAAATGCTATGCAATCAAATAATTCAAAAAACCACACAACATACCAGTCCATACCTTATCCAAAGTCTTTCATACTAATTATAACTAAAAACCATATCAATTCTTTATGTAGCCTCAGCTGTAGACTGTGCAACTGGCAAACATGCGAGTAGAAATTTAAATAAATCTCAAGACTGGTCTTGTTAATTCAGGCAGGTGATCTGTACTTCCGAAGTTGCATGCTTTTAGTCCTGAAAGTGACTTAAAAGCTTACACTAAAAACCTGATTTATTTCAAAAAAAGAGTAAGGACAATGAGTGCAATTTAATTCTATAGGAATGCGGTAAATAAGTTGTGTGTATACACAAAAATAACAAGATGAGCTTTGGAAGTTATTCTAAACCTTACAAAGAACTGCCACTAAGTCAAAATTCATCAAGCACAGTGAACAAGAAAACCAGCATCTAACCTCAGCACCAAAGGTGGGAAACAGTCACCCTGTCAAGGGGTGTGTAACACGCTTTTGAATTGTCATTGCTGGTATACAATGGAATTAACTCATTTGAGGTACGCTATTTTTTCAAACATTTTTTCCTTCATAGTTCATTTTACTGACAGTCAAACTAATTTAGCAACATCACCATTCACCAGCGTTGTCCTTTAAAATGTTCTATTTCAGGAATACACAAGCCAAAAATGGAGTATGATCCATGTGGGCTAACACATCCTAATCCTATAGTGTTTACCACATGGGCCACGTCGGAGCTTTAGTTCATAAGTCTGTAGGATCTGTAAAAGACGACCCGCAGATTCTACCAGAGCAGAAGCAACTCTGCTCCTGTGCCAAGCTGTGCCACGCTTGTGCCGTAAAAATCCTACTTGATCTACAAAGCTCAGGGACCTCTTCAGAGGAGCAAAGTAGAACTGTATCACCTATTTACATTAAAGTCCATGAAAAATAAGCTGCTCAGAGCAGCTTAATACTTTTTTAGTTCATGTTTTTTCTTACTTGTTTACTTACCACATTAATCGCCACATATTTGCTTTTTACAGATTCAGTAGTTGATAAATAGAGAAGATTTTTAGTCAAGATTATAAATTACAACGAACAAATTCAACAGTTCATTCTTATGTACTTCTAGTCCATACAAATTCCTGCTTTACCAACAAGCAGGAAATCGTGTCCTTATTTCAGATTATTCCTGATGTTCGTGCTCTTGTCCCGGGATCAGCCACCGAATGCTCTCCGTTCGAACCGTAGCATACATGACAAAGCTAGCCAGAAAGAGCAAAGAAAACAGAAGCAGCCAGTCTACGCCTTTTGTCAGAACGCTAGGCAGGGGGCCTTCCCAGTCTTCCTCGGTCACAGCCACATCACTTTTAGCTTCTATACCTAAAACAGAAAGCACTTGATCAACACCAGTAATAATCATTAAATACAGAGAAGCTGGTTCTATTTGGAGCTTTGTTCCTGTTCTCAGACTAAGGCGCATGTACAGTTAGACTTAAAATTTTGGTGAGATGGTACTTGCATGTTAACATTTATCTAGCATACAGTTTACTTACATAAAAACATACTGATTTTTATGTGTATCTTCATAACAGGAGTAGGCTTGTTCTGTCCTTCCACAGCACAGCCTTGTGTAAGTTTGTGGGGTTTTTTTGTTTGTGGTGTTTTGAGTATTTCTGCTGTATTAGCAAATGTAGCAATCTCTAGCCTCTAACGAAGGCCCTCGTAGGCCTGTATGTTTTTTGTTTTGATTTTCTTTACAGAAGCACAGAAGGACTGGAGAGCTGGCTGGCGCTGAGCTCACAATGCGGACAGCCAGATTACGGAAACTGGAATCCTTTTGTCTCCTCTAGCACAAGAACTGAAAATGTCTTATCCCCCAGCTGCTGTCAGCCTTACGTGGCACTGGCAGTGATCCCAAGGTTCATCTGCCTTTACTCCCAAATTAAATATTTGGGCAGGAAGATGTGCTCAATCCTTCTAGCACCCTCTCTAGTTAAACCCCACTCTCTTCCCCTACTCTGTGACGGCAGCCCAAGGAGTTTCTGCTTTCCGCACACCCTGAAACCCATCTCACTACAGCAACTGGTTATATAAACCTCTGCTGGGTCCTCTCAGGGTCTTCATGAAATTCATTTTAAAGAACAAACAGCAGGGAGAAGAAAGCCCAGTTTGGAGCTAAAAGCCAGCCTGTTCTTCCTACTGACGCATCAGGGCTGATTTACATACCTGTCTGATTAAAAATGAAGTCTTTCAATGTTTCCAGCGTTCTGTCTGTATGATTAAACCTAGCCATAGGTTTAGCACCTTGGAAAAGGAGGATATTGGGTACAGCCACAGTTCCAAATCTAGTTGATAAACTGTTGGACATAAAGCAAATACAAAGCATGAATGAAAAGAAATCCAGTGGAGGAAGAAACAAAGGCAATCACGATACAGGAAGTGTCACTTTTACTAACTTAAATCATCACTTTATAAGAAAAAAAATAAAATCACTCCCGTTTTTAAAACGCAAAGCTTACTAACAGAAATAAACTGATGGTAGAGCAGAGGAAGTGTAAGTTACCTGCTATGCTGAGATGCATCCAATGCCAGGAAGCGAAGAGCTGGAAATGCTCGAGGCAAAGAATTAAAATGAGGTGCCAGATTGGCAGAAAAGCGGCACCAGGGTGTATAGAATAAGACTAAGGTACAGTCGCTGCTGTTTGGGTTTAAGAACTCCATCAGGTCCTTAGAGAAAGCAGGAAAAAAACAAACATGGGCAATTACGTATTTAACAGAGTTAAATTCTACCTAGGAATGGATCATTCAGCAGTTGATTAGACACTTGACAATACTTATCAAGTAGCTGCATATTTGTTTAACCTTTTTAAAACAAATGGAGAATTGTATTTAACCTTTTTTAAAGGTTGTTTTACAAGTTTATTAGTTAACAAAATATATATATATAAAAACATAGCCAATACAAGAAACAATCTAGAAATAGGCACTGGCAATAAGTACCATTAACAATTTCAGAGAGAAACAACTCTATGCAGGACAAAACCTGACAGTTCACTGCAGCCACATAGATGAGAGACACAGGCATGTGGACTGAGCTGTCCCTCCACTTTTTTGCCGGCTCAGAATGACAAGAAAAGGCTCCTTGCCCAGACATTTCCTCTTTTCGATAGCACAGAGGATGTTACACAAGGAAATTCGCCAAGTCAAACACTGAAAGAAACACGCAAATGGTGCTGACGGGGCAGCTTCCACCATCCTCATGCGTTCACAATAACACCGAGCAGTGAACCGAGGCATCCATCCGCTTACCTGAGACACGTTCAGGATCTGCAGCGTGAAGCGGTCGATGCCAGTAGTGTTTCTCTCCTCGCAGTTCACTTTGGGAGCTTTGGCGCTATCGGTGCTATTGGACTCCCCGGCGGGCGCGGGCAGCACCGTCTCCAGCACGGCCTGCTCCCG